TGTTTTGGAGCTAGCTTTATCACAGTATGAAATGGTAATTCCACTGCCACCTTGTCTGAACACCCAATTTGGAACCATTGCATATGGAAGGCCATGAAGGATACACCGGACCCATCCTTCAAATCTGGTGAAAGGACGCATGTGGTGGCCGCATTTGGAGGAGTCTTTGAATTCAGACAGTCCGTGTTGCCACGCTATGATGCAATCGGCCTACAAACCCGGCCTTCAAAGGATGCAGCCCCTGCTTTTAAAAATAAACATGTTTTGGTTCCTCTGAGTTATGAGAAGTAAGTTGCCTCTACATAACCACCCAAACAGGTAAGCAATCAAAACTTTTTTATTTTACAAAATGAAATGTTCAAGAATGCCCTTCTTAGACATGCATGCCTTATAAATAATATAATGCAGAGCTTCACTTACATGTTTTATTGTGAGGTGCATTACCTAAGTTGTAAATCATTTACCAATGTAAAAGATGATCATCAAAAGACCTGAGGAAAATAAGATAATTTCATGATTTATAAATCCATGATGTTTCTGAGACCTTTCAGCTGAGACCTTCTGGCTATCAGAAGCTGTGATGTTCAATTATGAAACAGGACACGCTGCTGTTTCCATAACCGTTTTAGAAAACACTTTTGTTTTTCTTTCCTTCCTGTCTGAGGTTATGATGAAGAGCCAGGTAGCGCTCCTTTATGTCCTGGTCATTATGAGTGAGGGATCAGCCCAAAGCCTGAAACCCCGCCAGAGCGTTTTCTTCTCAGGTGAGCGTTCCACCTGGACTCTTTTGTGGGAGGCGGATTGTCTCAAATGACCAAGGACACAGAGTTAAAATCAACAGTCCAATTTATTAAAGCCAAATAAGTATTGACAATGTATAAAAACAACAGAGAAATAGTTTACCGTTTCAGCGCTGGACCACTGCCATGCGTCCTGAAGGAAGCAAACGCAGAGTGGCCCGAACAACAGGATTAAACTCCTTTTAGGCACCTAAGTTATGCCCTAAAGAGGACGTTCCCCTGACAAGTCAGTTCCAGCATGATATGTGCAGGTGTGTGCATGTCTATGCCTAGATAAAAAACAACTTTCAGATAAATTATTTTAGCACATCATATCAATAAAAGCGATATGATTAAGATAATAAACATTTAAACATGAAAACACAATCCTGACATGAGGCATCCCTGCAACAACAATTAAATGTCCAGACCCTTGCAGAAATATTCACACCAATAAACTTTTCCACATTTTGTCATATTGTAAACAAAATTCAGGCATCTTGGGAAGGGTGGAAATAATACTAGTGTAGCATGAAGATGCTGTCTTCCCCCTCATGTCTCTCAATAAAATGCAGAGAACTAACCTAAATTCAGAGGTTTATGAAAATGCTCTGATTTCAAAAGTAATCTGAGGATGCCGGTTGGATTCCTTCCCTCAGATGTTAACCTGAAGCTGTTTAAGGAGCCTGACTTTGACGGTTTGAGCTCCATGCTGGTCAGGGAAGACATCGGTCTGCTCTTCATCGGAGCCAGAGGAAAGGTCATCACGCTCAGTTTGGATGACATCACTGAGAAGACCGGCGAGGTAGGAACTGGGTCTGGGTGGTGAAACTTCAATGAAAGTACGCAAAATGCAAGAGGAGATTGGTGCGCCGTTTTTGGAGTTACACAGTCAATAATTAACAGTAAGAATTTGGGTTATTTTGCCTGTCATGGCAGGGAAAAATGGGCATCATCATCATGTGCATTGATCACAGCCTATCGGTGCCAATCTTTTCCTCATCTCCTCCAATTATCAAGCATTGTGCCCTTGATAAGGTCCAGCATCCAGTCTTCACCCGCTCCTCAGCCAAGCTTCGACCATTCTTTTCTGCTACCATGTCCGAATTCGATTCTGACGATTTCATCTTGGAGGTTCTTGGTCCCTCTCCTCCTCCCCAACCTTACAGGAGCTCTTGTTTGGCAGTCTGTCCTGATCAACCCTGTCCCTCTTCCGTTCTACGATCGGCAGGTATTTCCGACCTGGACGCTCCTCAGCTGGGCAACGTTGCCGCCCTTCTCCCCATTCAGGACTTGTCCCCGTCTCCTCCTCTGCCTCCTGTTTCATTGGCATCTGGAAAGTGCTCCAAAAAAATCCTCCGATCCTCCTGCCAAACTCCTGCTTTCTGCTCCTCCGGTCCGACATCAACTTCCAGCCCATCAACCCATGGATTAGCCGTGGAAGAAGAGTTCAGGTCAAGCCCCCATTTGTACTAACTTTAAAGAAACCTCCTGTTCGTTTCCATTTTGTAATTTTCTTCATGTCTGCAGCCTGTTCAAGGAAGCACAGCCCAAGTCAGTCTGTCCTCGCCGTCCATCCTGCAAGAGCCGCCCCAGATCCAGGACTTGATTTTCCGTTTCCTGGCCTCCCCATTATCATCCCAGAATTAGCTTTTCTCCCCAGGCACCATCGAGATCATTCCTTTGTCAGCGTCCTGCTTACAGGGCTGTCTCACGGTTTCAACATGGGTGTCCCCTCCCCACCTCTGTCGCCCCAGTGTGCTCCAATCTCCAGTCTGTACTCCGCAAGCTGGAGGTTGTGACTGCGTTACTTCAGTGGGAAGTTTCCCAGAGTTATATGATTAGTCCTTTTACATTTTCTCCCTTCTCCCTCTTCCAGCCTGTTAGGCATCCTTATGCTCAAGTACTCTGGAAAGAAACGCCTCATCCTCGGCTTGTCAGCCCCTCATTCCAATCCACATCCGACTATTAACTCTCTCATTCCCAAACCTCCCGTTCTCATTGTACTATGCTTCCATCAATCATGCCATTTCCCTCATTAAAGTCACGGGTCGAGGTGCTTGTGTAACCTGCACAAAATAATTAAGCCATATTTTATTTTGGCGGGTCAAAGTGACGGCACAGTTTAAGTTCCGGGTCATAGGTGAACTCAGATCTCCTTTGCTGTTGCTGCTGTTGCTGTGGCTAGCTGCTCATCTTGGCGTCTTCTAAACGTTTGGAAAAATACAGCTGGATCGAGGCTTAACAACGCAGCCGAAAGATTTAATTGGGCGTTTTCTATCTACCGCTCGACGGTCGGGTTTGTTTTTCCACCCCTGTGTCAACCCAGGATGGCGAGCTAAGGATCACCGCAGCTTTGCGGTAGGAGTGAAATGAACCAAGCTACTTTCTCATTCTGGATCTATTTGCACTGGATCATGGACAAAAAAAACAGTCAAATAATTGATTGATGGACCATTAATCACTCTGGACTCACAAATGCACTCAAAATAGAAAAAAGCTCTTGGGTGTCATCGGGGTTTATTGTTTTTTGTTGTTGTTTTTCCCCTGGTTGTGTCTTTTGGTTATATTTTTAGCAAATCACTGTTATTATAAATATTATTATTATTGCATATCTTCCTAAATATATGGAAAAAAAACACAAGCTTGAATACAATAACTTCAATTTACTTTCTGTCTGATTGTGTTTTATTCACACACACGGGCTCCATAGTCGAACCTATCTGAGTGCCTATTATTATATTTGGCTGTAGTCAGGCGCCTAGCCTTAACTAGCGTTACACGTGGCGAGCTAGCCAGGAGCTTGTGTGTGTGAATATTTTATGGGTTACTTATCATTTCTGAACATTTATTTCAGTCTTGGGGATAGAAAATCTTGAGTAAAATATTCAAAATAAACAACTTTTCCAAAAGGTAAAGAAACAAAAAAGAAAAAACAAAATTAATAATAATAAAATAAAAAACAGACATGATGGATCTTGTTGCACAATCTGGTATAAATGTATCACAGTCAGTGATGATTACTGGTGCTACTAATACCAAGGCTGATGAAGAAATACTTGATTGCTTGAGTAACTATGGCAAACTTAATCGTACTTTGTATGTAACTGATTCCTCAAGCACTTTTTTTAAAAACCTGATCGTTGAGTTTGCGGATTTAGCTGCTTTTTCCGCGTTACAACCGCTGCTACCTTAGTCTTACTCCTATCAAACAAATACTGACCGTGTGTTCCGTGTCACTGCTTTGGCACTTGAGTACGCAGCCACAGAGGACAGCAGCCATCAGCCTAACTACATCAATGAACTTAAGAAAATTGCTGATCAAAGCGGCCATCGTTTTGAAGATGTTCTGAAGACAGTAATGAGCCAAATAGGCCAACATTTGCATGCAGCAGGAGCAGATGAAAATTTTGGAAATGATGATGATGACGATGATGAGTAGTCCTCGCCTCTTCACTAAACTCTCCGAAGCCCTCTGTTGGATTCTGCTCAACATCTCTAACCTACCCTCAGTCCTGCACCTGCTCGACGACTTCCTCCTCAATCATCCCCCTGCTGCTTCCCCTGGAACATTCTTTAGGTATTCTCCAATAATTGTTTCATCATGTTGGGGTTCCTTTGTCCAAGGAGAAAACTGTCTGCCCATCGGAGTTTCTAGGCTTCACTCAAGACTCTGAGTCCCTGGTAGCCTCACTTCCGGCTGAAAAGCTGCCCCATGTCCATGAACTCTCTGTCTCATATCTCTTCCTTGTCATGAATTGTGGTTTTGAGGAAAAGCAACCCGATTTGAATCCAAGTTGAGGTAAAATAAGGTTAGCTCCAGGTCCGTTTAGTAAACAGAATCTGACAACAAGGGTGGAGCACAGGAATCAGACACCACCATGTCCGTCAATCAAGGCCTTGCAGTCTCACGATCTTTTCCTCGCTTCACAGACTCTCCCAGTCCATTTCTCGTCTTCGACCTAAGCACGCAGTTTATACATAATCCTTGCCTCAGCAGGTCTGGCCAATCTCACTCTTCGATCAACCTCTGTAGTTTTATTCACTTCTTAGAGTGAATAAACCTTAAAGTAAAGTTTTATTCTTAGGGAATAAAACTTAAAATCTACATTTATTTATAAATAAATAAATGTTTATTTATTTCTAAATAAATAATTATTTATCCATCCATCCATTTTCTAACACCTTGTCCCTGGTGGGTCAGGAGGAGCTGCTGCCTCTCCAGCTAACGTTCCAGGCGAGAGGCGGGTTCACCTGGGGTCACCTGGGGTCACCTGGGGTCACCTGGACAGGCTGCCAGTCTGTCGCAGGGCAACATTTATTTATTCATTTATTTATTTATAATTAAATAAAAATAAATTCTCCAATCTTCATACAGAGCGGGTCATTCTTTCTGTCAGAGTTTTCCATTACCCCGTTTCTCTGCTGGGTCTGAGTGCCAAGGACTTTCATTTGTCAATTAAAACCTTTTAATACCTATTCTTTGTCTCTGTATGTGTGAATCTCTCCAGGTTGAATTTATCTTTCTTCTTACTGCAGACTAAATAACCCAAATTATTGCTGTTA